AAATAAAAGTTTTGCAATAATAATGTGTGCACAATTAGTGCAGGTTAAGGAAAGTAATTAAAAATAAATTCATTTAGTTGTTCTGATTTACAGAATATATAATGTGTCTGGGATTTTAAGTTTTTTTGGTAGTTTACAGGCAAACCGTACAAGGGCCCGGTTTAAGAAGGATCCATGCATTTACGTGCTTTCGGTAGCGGGTGAGTGCAACACAATTAGCGGGCACCTGGTCGCCGGGGTTGCAGGGCTGCGACCCAGCGACCGCGGTATGCACACACACTTAAAGGACCACTACAGACACCCAGATCACATCAGCTCAATGAAGTGGTCTGGGTGCCAGGTCCCTCTAGTTTTAACCCTGCAGCTGAAAACATAGCCGTTTCAGAGAAACGGCTATGTTTCACTGAGGGTTAATCCAGCTTCTGGTGGCTGTCTCATTGACAGCTGCTAGAGGAGCTTCCGCGATTCTCACTGTGAAAATTACAGTGAGAAGACACTGAACGTCCATAGGAAAGCATTGAGTAATGCTTTCCTATGGGCGGTTTAAATGCGCTCGCGCGCCTCTTGCTGCGCATGTGCATTTCGGAGCTGAGTGGCGGACACTGGGGAGTCCGACGCTGGAGAAAGGTATTGCTGAAGACACACACACACACTCTCACGAACAGACGCATACACACTAGCTAACAGACACACACATTTACTGACAGAGACACACTCAGCGACAGACATACATACACACACACAAAACATACACTTTCACTGACAAACACACACTCACTAACAGACATCAAACACACTCAGTAACAGACACACACAGTAACACACTCACTAGCAGACACACACCCAATAACAGACACATTCACTGACACACACACTAACACACACACACACTAACACACACACACTCTAACACACACATACATTAACACACACTAACACACACATACACTAACACACACACATACACTAACACAAGTACACTAACACACACATACACTAACACACACAAACACACACATACACTAACACACACATACACTAACACACACACACACTAACACACACTAACACACACACTCTAACACACACATACACTAACACACACTAACACACACACACACTAACACACACATACACTAACACACACATACACTAATACACACACACACTAACATACACTAACACACACACTCTAACACACACACACTAACACACACATACACTAACACACACACACACACTAACATACACTAACACACACACACTCTAACACACACACACACTAACATACACTAACACACACACACTCTAACACACACATACACTAACACACACACACATTTTTTTTTTCAAATTTAATCCCCCCAGCCTCCTTACCTTTTGGAGTGCTGGGGGGATTCCCTGGGGTCCAGTGGTGCTGCTGGGCTCCTGGTCACTGGGTGGGCGGGCCGGCGCGCGAGGGAGCACTTTCCCCTGTGTGCTCCCTCTTCAGCTCCCTCGCGCGCCGCGTAGGGATGCCGGCGCCGGCAGATGACATCATCTTCCGGCTCCGTCATCAGTGCGGTGCGCGAGGGAGCTGAAGAGGAAGCACTGAGTGCTCCCTCGCGCGCCCGCCTGCCCGACCGGCCATACCGGGGTCAGCAGGGCCAGCCTCGGGGGGCCTGAGGTGGCCGCCTCCTGGGCCCCCCAGGACAAGAGGCTGGCCCTGTGGGTACATACCGGGTCGCAGGGGCAGCCGGGCTTCCTGGTGGGCCGGGCCCGGTCGCAGCCGCGACCCCTGCGACCCTGGTATGTGCGCCACTGGTTACAGGTCACAAAGCACAAGGAGTAAAATAAACTTTTAATGTGGAGCGATTTTAGAATTTGGTATGTTTGTCTTGTAAGCTTAATAGCCATAAAAAAACAAAATTGCCACACAAAAGTATATATTTATATAAAGTAGACATCACAGGTTATTTACCTAAGGTTGTTTTTACAGTTTCTACATAGCCATGTGTTTTTTGGCACACAAACTTATAACAAAGAAATTCTCATGTGTATTTTGTAAAGTTGGTGTGTGCTATTCCTGTACAAAGTTTTATTTTGTGTTCAGTTACATCTGCTGAGTAAAATGACACCCCCATTGTATGTCTTTGGCACTATTTCGTGAAGTTAGGAGACCTGTCCTTTTCAGTATTCACAGTAGAATTTTGAGAGACGGATTTAATGAGCCTATGCTTCCATTTGGGGTATTATAGTAGTTTGACTGTTCAAAACAACTCCACAAAGGCCTACCATTTGTAAAAGTAGACACTACAGGGTATCTCATAACACATATTGCGCCTTAACATGCCCCCATTTTTTCACCAATATATGCCAAAGTATGTGGTAAAAAATAATTTTGTTCATTTTTTACATACGGATTGCATTTTTGCTGGGCATTTTCTATATTTCATATGTGCCACTAAGTATAAACCCCCCAAATTATGCTCAGCTAAGTCTTCTGAGTAAAAGGACATCCCCATTGTATGTTTTTGGCACTATTTTGTGAAGCTACAGTGCCATACAGGAGACCTGTCCTTTTCAGTATTCACAGTAGAATTTTGAGAGACGGATTTAATGAGCCTTTGCTTCCATTTGGGGTATTATAACAGTTTGAAAGTTAAAAAAAACCCACAAAAGGCCTTCCCCCAATGAATGTTTTTGGCACTATTTTGTGAAGCTACAGTGCCATATAGGAGACCAAGCCATATC